TTGCAGCAAGAAACTCAATCATTTCTAGGTTCCAATTAGAGAAAGTCTAGGGGTCCTTTTTATTAAGATGAAACACAAATTGTATCAAGACTTGCTAAATCACTTAATATTGTTATGGTGATATTAAGTAGCTTGAGCATTTTAAATACTAATTCGAATATGTGTAGGCTATTTTTAATTGACGCATAAACTCTAACCTCCATTTTGCTAAAATTTCATTTTATGGTGCTAACTTTTTTTGGCCAGCTCGAAGATTTATGATACAGAGTATGATCGAGAATCCTGCAGTGTTCGGTGTCAGCAGTAACTTATACTGCTAGAATCTCCTGTAAATATTTCTCCAGGTGTTTGTTCATTATTTCCTAAAAGAGAGAATTATCTTTTTTAGAAGAAAATTTTTAAATAGTAACAATGAATACTTTTTTCTAGATCTTTATTTTATACACTAATTTAAAATATATATCTAAATTTAATTGCATATTTACAGGCTTATATGTTTAAGATGTGACTTCAAGCTTACAAACACTAACAGAGAAAAAATTATGACAGTTTGGATTTGAGGAATATAATTTATTTGTGGAAATGCATAGGTATGTGTGTACAATTATCAATGTGTGTAAAAATTCCAACTTATACATTAAGAAAATATTGCTTCTTAATATAAAATACTTCTGTTGAGCAGTATTTTAAATATTAATTTTCTAAAACTCAAATTATCCTTAATATAGCTGTTATTTTAATGTTGGTCTTATGTGGCTTTGTAGAAAAGACACAGTTTCTAACAATTTGTTATGTGCAGTTAGTCATAATTTTATTGTGCCAGCTTTTTTCTTCAAAGAATGCTAAGGATGAGAATGGTTCAAGATTATCCCATCCATCAGTTTTAAAATAAGAATTAGTAAACTAAAATAGCAACAATAAAATGTGGGATATATGAAGAAAGTTGAGAAGTATTAAGGTTTGACTTTTATTAAAGACACTATCAGAATAAGTTGTCTATATAACTGGATGATGATATAAACTAGTGTATTATTCTAACGTTTTTGGAGAACAAGTTTTTACTAAAAAACTAAGTGATTTTTCATCACATTGCTGATTTGCTTATTTTGATACAATTTACAATATTTATTAATTGCTTCACAACTTTTGTCTTTTTGTGAAAGTTTGCAGAAAAAAATATATTCTTCATCCTAGAAAAGTATTAGGGTCATAGGCACCACTATCAAGACCTATGTTCTATTAATAAATATATTCGCCAACAACAAAACATAAGTTCACTTTTTCACCAAAATAAACAAATAATTAAAGCTCTTTTGAAAATAATTTCCAATGGTAAGATAAAATCATGTTTAAAGTTGGAAATTTTGACATAGAAGAATTAGGAAAATATTCATCATGTTAGAATACAAGGGGTGGTGGTTTGAATGCATCTCTAATGTTCTATATTAATATCTGCATTACATTTTTTAAAAACCTTATCCTTATGAGGAGTATAGAAACTACGTAAAGCAACTAGGATAACTACCACTATCAAACACAGTGATAGATACTAATAACTGTTCCTATTATTAGTAATTACATAAGATTGAAATCTCTGAAGACAGAATTCATGGTTCATTTAGCCTTTCTTCCCTAAAAGCAGGTTTTGAGAATTCTTTGCAAGTATTTGATTAATGGAGAACTGCCCATTTCTATGAGCTCAGGTTTTTTTAGATTCCCCACATAAATGAAGTCATATTGAAGTAGTTATCTTTCTCTGTCTGACTTTTTCACTTAGCATAGTGCCCTCAAGTTTCATCCATGTTGTTACAAGTGTCAGGATTTCTTTCTTTATGAATGACTGAATAATATTCCATTACATTTGTAATTTATTTTCTTTCTTTCTGTAACTACTCAGGTATCTTTTATTCTGCACTTAGGGGCCTCCCTGTCCTCTGTAATTTCTTTATTCATTCATTTGCCAGTGGATAGTTAGGTTGGGTCTATGACTTGGCGATTGTGAATAGTGCTAAAATGAATATGAGTACAGATACCTCCTTAAAATAGTGATATCCTTTGGATATATACCATAAAGTAGAATCACTGGATCATATGGTAGTTCTATCTTTAATTTTTTGATGAATCTCCTTTGTTGCTTAGTCGCTAAGTGTTGTCTATCTTCTTTTGCGACCCCATGGACTGTAGCCCACCAGGCTCCTCTGTACCTGTGATTTCCCAGGCAAGAATACTGGAGTGGTTTGCCACTTCCTTCTCCAGGAGATATTTCTGACCCAGGGACTGAACCCACATCTCCTGTATTGGCAGGCAGATTCTTTACCACTGAACCACCAGGGAAACCCTTGAGGAATCACCTTACTATTTTTTATGGTGGCTGTACCAACTTATATTCCCACTAATGATGTAAGAGGATTTCCTTTCCCCATATCCTCTCAACAGTTATTATTTCTTGTCTTTATGAAGATAGCCATTCTAGTAGATGTAAGTGTTATCTCATTCAGGCTTTGATTTTCATTTCCCTGGTTATTAATGATGATGCACATTTCTTCATGTACCTGTTGTCCATTTGTATGTTTTCTTTGGAAAAATATCTTCTGATTCTCTATTTTTAATCAGGTCATTTTTTGCTATTGACTTGTGTAAGTTATTTCTTTATTCTGAATATTTACTCTTTATCTTATTTACCTACATGTAATATTTGCAAATAACTTCCTTCATTCCATAGGTTGCCTTTTCATTTTTTAACTGGTTTCTTTTGCTATGCTGAAGCTTTTTAATTTAAAGTGTTCCCATATGTTTATTTTTTTTTTTATTTTTGTTGCCCTTGCTTTTGGTGTTAAATACAAAAAAATTATCCCCAAGGTCAATGTCAAGGACCTTCTTTCCTGTTTTAGGTTTCCAGTTTTACATTCAAGTGCTTAACACATTTTGAGTTGACTTTTATGTTGTAAAACAGAGGTCCAGTTTTATTCTTTTGCCTGTGGCTATTCAGCTTTTCCAGCCCCATTTACTGAAGAGACTGCCCTTTTTGCATAGTATATTCCTGCTTCCTTTGTAAAAAATTAAATGACCGTATATGTGTCACTTTATTTTTGAACTTTCTATTTCATTGATCTATGGGTCTGTATTTTTGCCAGTATCATACTGTTTTAATTACTATATCTTTGAAATATCATTTGAAATCAGGAAGTGTGAAATCAGCTTTTTCACTCTGTCTCAAGATTACTTGCCTATTTGGGACCTTTTGTTGTTCCATACACATTTTAGGATTGTTTGTCCTTTTTATATGAAAAGTTGCCATTAGAATTTTGATAAAGATTGCATTAAATTTGCAGATTGCTTAGGGTATTATGGACTTTTAATATTAATTCTTTCAATCTATGAGCACAGATTAATTTTCCATTTATTTGTCCTCTTCAGTTTCTTCATTAATGTCTATAGTTTTCAGTGTACAGATCTTTCACTTTCTTTGTCAGGTTTTTTGCTAAGTATTTTATTCTTTCTGATGCAATCGTAAAATAGGTTGTTTTCTTAATTTCTGTTTCTGATGTTTCATTGATAGTGTTTATAAGTTTAATTGATTTTTGTATATTAATTTTGTATCTTGTAATTTTAAATTCATTTATTAGTTTTAGCAATTCTTTCAGTGGAATTTTTAGAGTTTCCTATGTTTAGTTGCTAAGTCATGTCTAACTCTTTGTGACCCCATGGACTATATAGCCCACCAGTCTCCTCTGTCCATGGGATTCTCCAGGCAAGAATACTGGAGTGGGTTGCATTTCCTTCTCCAATATATGTTCTCATGTCATCTGCAAATGAAGACAGTTTTACTTCTTCATTTCCAACTTGGTTGTCTTTTATTTATTTTTCTGCTTAAGTGCTCTGGCTAGGAATCCCAGTACAATGTTGAATAAAAGTGACTGGAGGCAGGGGTGGGGGTAGGGGAAATGGGTGAAGATGGTCAAAAGGTACAAAATTCCAATTATAAGACAAGTTATGAGGATATAATGTATAGTATGCTGACTGTAATGAATAATATTTGATCATAAAAGGTATTAAGAGAGTAGATCTTAGAAGTTCTCATCAAAAGAAAAAAATTATAACTATGTAAGGTGATGCATATTAAGTAAATTTATTGTGGCAATCATGTTGCAACATTTATATACATATATCAAATCATTATTCTGTGCACTTTAAATTAGTTTAATGTTATGTGTCAATTATACCTCAATAAAACTAAGGGGAATAAAAAGAGAAATTTCAGGAAAAACAAGCCTCTAGGGAGATGAAAAAACAGGAAAGGTAAGAGGGAGAAGTTTCAGGTGGTTTCAGGCAAAGTTGTGCCATTATGGCGCCCCAAATGCAAAGGTATAATTCCAGGTACTTCTTTTGAAGGCTGCTCCAATAGCCCAGAAACAGTCTTCCAGAAGCCAATAGGCATGAACAATTTAGCCACAGAATCTGGTCCCAGGACCTGTTGTCTATTGGTAACTACTATAATGACTCTACTAATTAGTTCCTTAATACATGTCTCCTTCATTAGGGAGAAAAAAATTAAATTATAATTGTTATACCTCCAAATCTTCTGAGTGAGTGTATTATGGTTCTTTTGGTATCTTACAGAAGTTAGCAGGGCTTCCCTGGTGGCTCGGATGGTAAGGAATCTGCCTTCAATGTGGGAGACCTGGGTTCGATCCCTGGGTTGGGAAGATTCCCCTGCAGAAGAGCATGGGAAGCCACTCCAGTGTTCTTGCCTGGAGAATCCCCATGCACAGGGGAGCCTGCGGGGCTACAGTCCATGGGGTCACAGAGAGGCAACGCGACTGAGAGACTAAGCACAGCACAGCACAGAAATTAGCAAGCACACTGCTATCCACAAAGTGGGTGTTAAATAAAAATTGGTTGGTTTATTTGAGTCACACAATATGTAACATTTTGTGTATACATATACATATTTTTCTTTTTTTTTTTTTTTTGTCTATATGCATGTTTAAATCCAATAGGCCAGAACCTGTTTTGTGGACAAAGGATGGTGGAGAATTACCAGATCCTGACCGAATGGTTGTGAGTGGTAGGGAGCTAAACATTCTTTTCCTCAACAAAACGGATAATGGTACATACCGATGTGAAGCCACAAATACAATTGGCCAAAGCAGTGCAGAGTACGTTCTCATTGTACATGGTGAGTACCTTTTTGACATTATTATACATGTAAGAATGAATGACCTGAAAAGCTGCTAAAATTTATCAAAATCTTTAGGATAATAAACAAATTTAAACAGATTTTCATTTTCTTTCAGAAGAACTTCTCATAAGTATGAATATCTCCAAAATTCACAATTAATATGTTTCAAATCAAAATAATAACATAAAATTAAAGCATATATTAGGAAATAAAAACTGTTTTGTAAATGATTTATTAATTGCAAATACACTATATTATTTGATGGTGACTAGTAAATCATATTAGTGGTTTTCTTTATGCTTTACAAATAAATGCTTTTAATAATAAATCAGAATCATGAAAACTTTCCTTAATTTTGATAGAATTATCATAAAAGTATATTTATTAGTATATTATTAGTAGTAGTTTTACAAAGAATGATAGTATATCATCGACATACAGCAAAGACAGAGATGTACAGTACTAATGATAACTGAGCTAATTTCTTATGCATAATAATTTAGAACACCCACAAAAATTTTTTTTCTCCTCTCACTAGTCACATACTTTTAGTAAATATAGCAAAATGGCAGAAAGACATGCCAGTTCCCAAGATTAGAGAGAATTTCTATTTTCTGTAAACTCCAAAAGTCAGGACAAATGAAGATGAACTTTTATGAAACTGGTAAATATCACAATAAATGAAATCAGTCATATTTCTTTATTTCAAGATTTCTCAGAGTTTATTTACATGGTACAATGTGAATCTCAAAGAGAAAAAAAGCATTATAGAATGTAAGATTTTTCTCATATATTTCACCAAGAAAACATTTTCTAAGACTAATATATTCTACATAATATTACAGTCTTTGAATGAGTATTGTGTAAAATCTATACAAAGCTGTAATAAATCTAGTTGATCTTAGAAGTTACAGAGTACATTTATTTGAAATGTTACTCATGAATCTAAGTATAAAATAACTGTAAGAAACATGGATTAATTCTATAACTTTCCAAAAAAAGGAATTTGGGAGATAAGGTCTAATTCTTTGTAAAGTGATTTAATTTTAGGGGGAAAATAGCCCCGTTTGTTTTTCCAAAGATACTTATGTTGTTATGATACAGGCCAAAATAATATATTAAATCAATTTACAAAGCTTTCTTATTTTCAAATTGCTTTAGTGTCTCCCATTTCTCAGTTCTTAGCAACAATTTGCTCTTGAGGGTAAACAAAGGCTTGTGCTGAATAGACTTTCCACATATAAACATCTTGAAAACAGTAGAACTGAGAGAGAAATTTATGGTATCTCATGAATTGTGCACATTTCAGTCTTGGGGAAAGATCAGCTTGATCAAGTTAGACTGATAAATTGGAATTAAATGTGGTAACCCCCTGCCAGGCTCACTACCAGAGAGAATATAACAACCTTGAGTGTGTCAAGAAGATAAGTTAGATCCTTAGAGCAGGATCCAGGAGTCACTTACAGTTCATGCTGATCTGGATGTTTAGATGCTACAGTCATGGAAGTGAAGTCTGATTCACCTTCAACTTTAAGTGTTTATCTCACCAAACAATTTTTGGGAAACTGGAGGCATGTTGCATAGCACGTCACATTGTGTCGAAAGCAATATGACATAAAAATATAGACAATTAGAAGGGAAATGACAGAAGAAATAATATACTTTGATGAAAAATATGTCATTCCTTTTTTTAAGTAATTCAAGTGGGGGAAAATTCATGTTTTCTCAGTGTTTGCAAGCTAGCCAACAGTATGACTTCCTAAAGAGCCAAGCCACCTTTAGGTAGTTGGCAGTTGACATATTTCTAATAAATATTTCTCTGAGCACTTTGTAAGAAGTCATTTTTGGCTCTGCTTTTTGAACTACAGTTCATGAAAAGCACCCCATAGATTAGTGCTATTCACGCTGTGAGATAAATGCTGTGAAGTTCAACACTGGTTTACCTAGGATTATTGACACATGTAATGCGAGGCTCAATGAAACAGTGAAACCATAATACACTGTGTTTTAAAAGGGCTCCAATTGGGTTCATTACAAAATAAAGTTTTGTTGTTTTTTTCCTCTCCTTTGCACACAGGGTATAATGTTTCATTAGTCACTGGTTGTATAAATATAAAACTCTACTCGCTTCTATTAATGGTTTAGCTGTTTCAAAACCAGACTAAATAGTGAAATTTGAGTGGCATTTCGATCTATAATGAATGCTGTATGCATTTCGGAATGGAGCGATAAGTGATCGCTTGTGAGAACTTTACCCTTTTATCTTTTACACCAAGTTTGATTTTGCATTAGCTGTGATAATTTAATATAACTCTAGCACAGAAGGGCCTTTCATGAGCTGAGACCATCTTTGACTCTACCACAGTTACCTAAGTTCTATTGATTCTTAACTTGATGGAGGTCGGAGCACTTTGCTGTGAAATCATCTGCTATCTAGATGCCATCCTAATAGGTTTTATTCTTTGGGTGTCAGTGCAAGAGCATTATTTAAATGTTTGCACATTTAATTGTTAACAGCAGTGACATTTTGTGCCAGTAACACTGGAGGGTCCCCACCCCCCTCACTCCTTATAATGACCCCTTTGGAAATTAAAGCATTAGAACTACAGACAGTAATTTGAAACTACCAGTCTGAATCTCATTCTCAGTGAAAGGCCTAACAAAATTCAGTATACAAATACCTGTGAGATAAAACATTACACTTTTGAAACATTTGTACTGTAGAGATCCCATTAGGAAAAAATTGGCTTTTTTCTTTACCAGGTTCGGCGTTGGAACCTTTATTTTTTTAATTTGTTGTTCTTTTTTTTCTTTTTATTTCTTTTGACCACAATAGTTTTGTGTTTTCTGCTTCTATGTAAAAATATTGAAGTTAGTCTCATATTATTATTGTTATCATACTACTTATTTCTTTTGAATGGTTAATTACTCCCATATTAATGGTCCCACATTAATGGTATGCTGTTCTATTGCTGTTCTTGCTACTTGAAGAACTCAGATCAACAGAAATATTCCTTCATTAACCAAATACATATATAGCATTTATCCACCAAGTGCAAATTCACTATAGGAGCAAAAGTGAACAGCACTCAACGACTTTAAACATGGAAAATAAGCATTCAAGTAAGTATAGTACAAAAATCAAAGAGCTCTAGGAGGATGAATATACCATAGTGTAAATGTCAGGGTTTGTGACAACATGGTTCAAGTGTCCGGAATTAAAAAAAAAAAAAAAGTAACATGGTACTCCTGGATTATTCATAAACAAATTGCATACATCATAAATAGATCTTCTATGTAAAAATATTGAAGTTAGTCTCATATTATTATTGTTATCATACTACTTATTTCTTTTGAATGGTTAATTACTCCCATATTAATGGTCTCACATTAATGGTATGTTGTTCTATTGCTGTTCTTGCTACTTGAAGAACTCAGATCAGCAGAAATATTCCTTCATTAACCATATACATATATAGCATTTATCCACCAAGTGCAAATTCACTATAGGAGCAAAAGTGGACAGCACTCAACGACTTTAAACATGGAAAATAAGCATTCAAGTAAGTATAGTACAAAAATCAAAGAGCTCTAGGAGGATGAATATACCATAGTATAAATGTCAGGGTTTGTGACAACATGGTTCAAGTGTCCGGAATAAAAAAAAAAAAAAGTAACATGGTACTCCTGGATTATTCATAAACAAATTGCATACATCATAAATAGAAGTGTCCACCAGTGCCAGGTACATAGATATAATAAATCAGAGTTTTACTATTATAATATTACTAGTGGAACCAGAAATCAAATTGCCAACATCCACTGGATCATAGAAAAAGCAAGAGAATTACAGAAAAACATCTACTTCTGCTTTGTTGATTACGCCAAAGCCTTTGAGTGTGTAGATCACAACAAACTGTGTGTGGAAAATTCTTCAAGAGATGGGGATACCAGACCACCTTACCTGCCTCCTGAGAAATCTGTATGCAGGTCAAGATGCAGCAGTTAGAACCAGACATGGAACAACATACTGGTTCCAAATCGGGAAAGGAATACGTCAAGGCTGTATATTGCCACCTTGTTTGTTTAACTTATATGCAGAGTACATCATGAGAAATACCAGACTGATTGAAGCCCAGACTGGAATCGAGATTGCCAGGAGGAATATAAATAACCTCAGATACGTAGATGACACCACCCTTATGGCAGAAAGTGAAAGGAATTGAAGAGCCTCTTGATGAAAGTGAAAGAGGAGAGTGAAAGAGGAGTGTGGCTTAAGACTCAACATTCAGAAAACTAAGATCATGCCATCTTGTCCCATCACTTTATAGCAAATAGATGGGGAAATCATGGAAACAATGACCAAATTTATTTTGGGGGGGGGGNCAGTCCATGGGGTTGCAAAGAGTCAGACAGGAATGAGCAACTGAACTGATTGCCTGACCAAGTAGTCTTTTGGTACCAAAGGCAATCTCAATCCAATCCTCTGGTATAAAATTTACCCAAGAGTTGTATAGTTTACCATCCATTATCTTCCTTGAGTGGTACCCAGAGCATAAGTTAAATTATCTCTATTAAAGAATGAGGAAATTCTATATTTTTATTAACTAAGCAATAGAGAAGATCATAAAAATACCAACACTACAGCAAACTGGTAATATAGAGAGAGCAGAGTGCAAGTTATAATTACTCTTATTCCTCTGATGCAACATCAAATTCAGAAAGTATAGATAAAATATTCTCTCCCCAAAGAGAGACTATCCAAGACCTGCATCTTTTTGTATAGATACAGAGATCATAGGAGATACCTATTCATCACATAAAGAACGGCTGCAGAGAATTGCAGTTGATCTGATACCAGTCTTATTTTGTGTTTGGGAGCAATTTAAATTCTTGTATTTATTTGTCATCCACTGATTAAAAAATATTCTTTTGGAAGTGTCAGAAATATGCAGTACCTGGAACAGTTTGAAAGAATATCTACGAAGAGTGAAAAA